TCTAAGAGTTGCCCTTTATTTTCCCTCAAAGAGAGAAATCTTTTTCTTCCTGCTTTGTAGACTGTAGTGCTTCAGTTTTTTTTTTTTTTTGTACATTGTCTAAGTGCTTTATGTCAACAGATCAGTGGATTTTTGTATGTAGTTTTCATTTTTCACTGAATCTTTGATCATAGAGTCAAGAAAATAGGGAAGGATATGGGGCTATGAAATTTGAAAGACCTAATTTCTTTCCTGTCTCTGCATTTATTAATCTCTTGAAGTCTCTATAGCTCTAAAATGTGAGTAACTTCCTGGAGGATATGTGTGTGTCACACGCATGCGCGTGCATGAGGTTATGAGTGATATGAGATTATATACTGGAAGCCTTTAAAACAGTCCTGAACTACAGAGTGTAATAAATGCCTGTTTCTTTTCCTTGAATTAAGCCAGTAATCCACTTCATGCATCCTTAAAAAGTTATTCCAATGTTAAATATTCGGTATTTTTTACTGAAACAGATTTTAAAAAGATTCAACTTAGGTAGGATCAACTGGGGAAGAAAAGAATTTCTGTAAAACCTTCTGATTCTTAATTTATATTGAAATGCCTGTTTCCTTATCCTTGGAGTCCATAAACCGTCTTTTGCATTTAGTAGGAAGTTAAGGATGTCATTGTATAGTAAAAGTAACATTGAGGAAGGGATCTGAAGGCCATTAAGTAGTCTTGACTTAATTGCTTATTGATTTTTGTGGCATTTGCAAGTGACTGAACGAACTCCCTATAGACATTATATCTTGCCCTTCTCAGTCCAGACGTGGGAATAGGTTGAACCTACCTCCTCCTGCTTTAGTAGATAAGAAATCTGTTCAAGGAGGACTTTTGAGCACAGTAAAGGATCTCTAAATATGTGAGTGTATTGGATTGGTTTCACTGTGGATCTGAAATTGCTTGTTAAAGGGGATAATCCATATGAAGTATGTTTCTAGGTAAGAATCTGGATATTTGAAAGACTAGAATTTTGGTAAATGGGAAGGTAAAGTCTTTGAAAGACAGAAACAGTAGCTGCAGCAGCAACAACAGAAACACCATAATTTTAGGAAATGAAGACACAGGTTTTAAAAGACAGGAAAAACGCAGCAGAAGATACTAATAACAGAATTTTTCTCATTGCTCATCTCTTGTTCTCTTTCCCATTTCTTGCCAATTTAGCTCAGAGTATTTTTATTTTTTTATTTTTTGTCTGTTCCACACAGACTTCTCTGCTTCCCCAACCTTTTCATTGTTTTAGTTTCAAAGTTTTTGGAAACATAAACCAAGCTAGAGATACACTTGAATTTTTTTCCTAGTTTTCTGCTTGACCTTATAGGTAAAGATAAAACACCAAAAAACTATAACAAAATTTCAAAGACTTTGCTTCTCTACAGAAAATAATCAGAATTTTTACTGTACTCTATCAGCTAACTATTGCTATAACAGACTACCTCAAAACTCAGTTCATAGTGAAATACTATAGCATGTTCATAAATTTGCTGGTTGGCTGAGTGACTTATCTACATCTGTCTCATTTTTCCAGGGTACTGACTTATCTAACGATCTTCTTAAAGTTGCAGAAGTTCAAGAGGGTAGTCCCAATCATGCAGTTACATTTCATGTCTGCTTTTGTATGCTATCCCCTGACATGCCATTGATCAATGTCCATCTTCAGTGCTGCAGGAAATATGTCTTTATTATAAGAAAGTAAAAAGTAGCAATGGTGTAGAAGAATTGGGAGTCTTTTCTGGCTTTACATCTATGTCTACATTTTAGTCATGAATGTGTTTATATACTATTTTTATTCTACCATTTTAGCTTAATTGATTGTGTAGAGATAAGTTTCTACATAAAGTATAGATGAAATTACTTATTTTTAAAGATAAGAGAACAATCATTTTGCTGTGTTCCTAAGTTGGTATTGTCTGATGCTTTCACAAGGTTAGATTCATCACTTAAAAATCTACCTCTTGCTTAATGTAAACCATTTTTAGGTCCATCTGCATCAAAATCATATGAAGCTACTTATCTCCTGGAATCAAAAATTTTGGAGGGGTTCTTGGAATCCATATTACTAAAAAACTTATCAGTTAATTATACAGATTCAGATTTTAAAACTTGGTTCCTTAGTGGAAGAACTTTTATGTCGTTTCTATTTTTCCAGCCTTATAAATAATAGCCATCAACATTTGTACAAATGAATCATTTCCTTGAGATACTCAGTAATCTTTCCCAGATCCATGATTGAATAATTCGCAGTTAATGAAAATATTACATTGCTTAAAAAAATGTGGTTCGAATTGCTGGTAGTATTAAGATTGCAAGCAGGCTTGTACAATTCCTTAAATATGTTATATTCACTTAACTAAAAGACACTGAATTAGATAAAAAGAATTTCTGGAATATTTTTATATGTCTTTAATTTGTAACGGATATTGCCTGATACTTTCGTGATCCCATTGTTAGTTATTTAGATGAAAGTAGAGAAGTTGATAGATTTACATGGAATTTAATTTTTCTCATCTTTCAACTCTGTTAATTTTCTTTTCTTTTTTTAAAATTGTTGGTGCTAGGGATTGAAACTAAGGCCTTGGCATACTAGTCAATCAACCAACTGGGCTATATCCCAGCACAAATTTGATTTTTCCATTCCACTGTTATGATACTTTTTGGCATTTTATATGATTTTGCTTGTGTGTTTTATTATGTATTATTTAATAATCTTGGTTATCTTAACTCTAATAAGATTTTTATGGAAGTGAATTTCTTTGATGGCATGGTAGACACTGCTAATGCCTTTCCAGTATACATTTTTTTTCCCTGTCTTTTTAAGTTAACTGAGCCCTGATTTCATTTTCAAGGCAGTTTTTTTGCCTAGTTGAAAATTCATTTCCTAACCTCCTCTGCAGTTGTGCATGCCATGAAACTTTGTTCTGCTCAGGTAGCTAGGCTTTAAGTGGAAGTGTTTAGGCAAGAGCTGTTAAAGAAGGCAGGTTCAGGGCTGGGGATGTGGCTCAAGCGGTAGCGCGCTCGCCTGGCATGCGTGCGGCCCGGGTTCGATACTCAGCACCACATACCAACAAAGATGTTGTGTCCGCCGAGAACTAAAAATAAATAAAAATAAATAAATAAATAAAATAAAGCTTCAATAAAAAAAAAAAAAAAAAAAAGAAGGCAGGTTCATTTGGTAAACACCTTTTGTTCCTTGTCCTTCCGTGCATCCTACCTAGAACTTATGTAGGGTGCTGAAGGAGGACCACGTAGTGACAGACGTACTGATGAATATCACACAGAAGGATACTGGAGTGGGAAGACTGATGAGCTTGAATGCTTGATCATGTTGGGTGTCCTTATCAGTTTCTGGACTGCTGGCTGCTCGTCTTCTGATGTTAGAAAAACAAAAATCTCCAGATTTTTGAAGCTTCCATTTTGATGAGATTCTGGTACATATAGTTTCTAACTGATAATAGGATTTTTGCATATATATTTCATTTAAAGATTTAATTGAAACCTTTTAAATTAAGGATTAGTTGATGAAATCTCTCATTTCATTTTGTAGTTCCTTAAGACTTTTGATTTCTTAATGTCTATGTTATGTATATAAGTTGTGAAGTATGTATTGAAATGGATATTTTGCAATTCTGACATCAACAAATCTGAATGCAAACTGCTTAAAAACTTTTTACATTAAATATTTAAAAAACTTTTTGTAAGAGAAAAGGTGTTTGTTTACTATACTGCAATTCTCAAATTCAGGAATCTAATATTAATTCAGTGTCATTATCCAGCAGTCCTTTTTATATTTCCCCAACTGTCCAGTAATATCCCCTGTAACATTTAGTATGAGATGAGTCAGCTTCCCACGTTGTATTTTGTTTTACCAGGACTGTAGTGTCTCCTTTAATGTGGAGACTCACTCTTTGTCTTTGGTGGTATAGATATTTTTAAAGATAATAGAACAATTATTTTGTATAGTGATCCTCAGTTGGTGTTGTCTAAGGTTAGATTCATGTTACACATTTTCGTCAGGACCATCATAGTGTGTCTGTCAGGAGGCACACTAGCGTTTTGTCCTGTTATTGTTAATATTAACTTTGATTTCTTTGCTAAGGTGGTGACCATTAGGTTTTCCACTATACCCTTACTCTTCTCTCTTTGTAGTTTGTACTAAGTAAATACTCTTTTCCTCATCAGACTTTCATCCTGTAGTTTAGTATCCATTAATGATTCTTGACTGAATTAGTACTGAGGTAAAATGTAAAACATTTTCAAGAAATATTTCTGTGGATCTGAAGTCATTGTAGTCTTATTTTCCTTATTATGGTTTTGTGCTTTATTTCATGGTGCTTTTAAAAATAGTTTTAGAGAATTTGTTTAAAGAATACAAAGATGTATGAAGGGAGGAATATGGTTTTTATTTAGGGAAGGTCATTTAAGAGTTTGATAGTGGAATGATATTGATCTATTTTTGTCCCCAATAGAATATAATAGATTATATAAAATATGAAGACAACTGAAACAAATGGGGCAAATCAACTCAAGTTAGGATGTTTTATGTCAGATTGGAGAATGAAATGATCTTTATTTCCTTTAATAGAACTGTTTTAATAACCCACTTAGTGCATAGCCTGTCAAGAGCATATCTTTTCCAACATTCTAGGTGTTGATCTCAGGCTTAACCAACATGTGGATTGCTCCTTTTCTTGTTGGAGGCATAAATAAAGAGTTGAAGAATGGAACCCAAATTGTTAATTCTGTAAGACTTCTTGGAGATTAATGTAAAATTCCAATACCAGAACTACAAGAATTTAATAATGACTGTCCATTGCATGATTCATTCTTTCTAACAGAATGAAGTTAGTTCAGTTTCTCTTGAGTTCTATTCTTTTCTGCTTTTTTATTTAAATAGAAAGTCTTAAAATTTTCTTTTTGTATATTTCATACAAAAAGAAGTTCATAGTATAATGATTCTGCTTTTTTATTTTTTCTAGCACCAACAGACATTTTTGAATCAACTGAGGGAAATTACTGGGATTAACGATGCCCAGATACTGCAGCAAGCCTTGAAGGTATGGCCCTGTTTCATGACATGCAGTTGTGGAATGCCCTCATTTCTTCTGTGTACTGTGTTTGGAAGTTGTTTTTTAGTTATGCCATGTAGGTGGTAATAGAGATGGAAAAATTTACACTCATAACTTAATAGTCGCAGTTAAGACGCTACAAATTTTGAGCATGTTAGCTTTCATAAATCTAATGTTTCCATGATATCTTGGAGTGATAGATAAATTCTCTCTATATGACATGCTTTTCTTGAAAAATAGTGGGATGTGAATTTTAAGGTTAATAGAAGATTTTATGCAAGAGGCATGATTTCAGAATTTAATGGGGTTCAGGGTGAGACTGATTAGAGAAAGAGGTGGAGGAGAAGGGAAAAACAGAATTATTAGAGGGTCAAAACTTACATTTTTTTCCCCTCCCAAGAAGGATAAATATATATTTCTTCTATTTGCTTCTTAAGAATATTTAATTCAAACCTCAGTAGCATGTGCAACAAATAAAATACATCATTTTTGTTATATCTTAAATAAATCCTCATCTCCACACAGATGCTGGGATGAGTCAAATCACATGGATAATTCACATTGAAAAAAATCAAGTGAATGAAAGATATTCTAGAAACAGAGTTGTGTTTTAAGCTCATTTGTATATTGCTCCTGAAGGCTAGCAGCAGTGTGGTGTTTTAGTTACTGTAGTCACACATTGCTCCCCAGTCCTTTGGAACTTACTTCATGAGACAAAATCAGTTACGCAATTCTTGATCCTGGGCCATGTTCCGAAAACATTCTATCTTTTAGATGATTATAATAGAAATCATCATAATGATAATGATAATATCTAAGACTTATTAAAAGTTAATAGCAGCAGGCGTTGTCTTAAGTACTTTATGTGGGCTAACTCATCCTCATAATAACTACAAGATAAGTTCTATTTTCATTCCCCTTTTGAAGATGAGGAAACCGGTTAAAATAACATGCCCAAGATTTCACAGCCAGTATGTGGAGGAATGTGGATTAGAAGCCACAGCAACCTGGTCCATGGTGCCACATGTGACTTTCTGATTCTTTTACTAAAGGATTTTTGCTTCAACTTATTTTCCCATTAGGAAAATGATGAACAGTACTGTTTAGTTCATCAACTCAGGGATTATTGAAGCCATTGTGAGTGTTTGGAGAGGAAGCTGAAACATCACATTTTAATTTTCATGATTATGACATTTAGATGATTGCCAGTCCTTTCTTTATTCTGATAAATACCATGGCTAAATCATTCCATGTCTATTTTCAGAAAGTGCCTTTCTCAATATACCACAGAGCCTGAGGCTGTTAGCCTGTCACTTTGCTGGGATAAATTTGGAGAAATCACTTTTTTTTTTAAACTATAGATCAATTTAAGTCATGTCTACATTTCTTTTGATATAAGTTGTGTGAACATAGGTTTTTTTTTTTTTTCATTCTTTTGTTTCACTTATGGTGATGGGGGCAAGAGAGGTGGGCAGTGTACTTAAACCTTAATTGCTGTTATAAATTTGTAAAGTGTTTAAAATAAGTTGATTCTCTTAATATACAAGTTGTTTACTTTTGGGAAACATGATGTCACTGATTGATTTCAGCATTTTGAGATTTTATTTTTAGTTGTACAAAGTAAATGATCCTGTGAAATTTCTACTGTATATAGTTTTTTTTTTAAAAAATTATGATATAGTACATGAAAAATACTTAGCATATTTCTTGGCACATGGTAAGTACTCCATAAATATCCGTCACCAGTGTTACAGTTTATTTTATGTTTAGTTTACTTGTTTAACAATATAATATTTCATGCCCTTATTTTAAATGAGTCACTTAAAACTCTTACAGTGGTCATGAAGGTAACATTTTAAAGCACTGGTGCTTTTCATACTGCACTCTTACTTTCCTCACTGACTGTTAGAATTGGAGTTGGGTGGGTTTGAGTGACTTAATTCTTTTAGTTGCTTAGGCTTTAAATCTTAGAATCATCCTGATCCTCCTTCTGTCATGTCCCACATTTAATATGATAGTTATGATGGATTCCCTGCTCCTGCCCTTTCTCACCTGTACTCTGTTCTTAATATACAGACAGAGTCAACCTTTTAAAATATGAGTCATACCATGTTATTGCTGTCCACTGGCTTCCTGTTACAAACATGTATATGCTGAAGTTCTTATGCCTTCCATGTTCTGGCCTTCTGTTACAGCAAGAGTATCATTTAGTTTCTTATGTTCTTTTAATGTCTTAGACCTAGTGTTATATTAACCATGTAGAGAATTATAAAGAGTCCACTGGGCAAGTCTCTTCTCATTATTTTTTTGCTCTAAAAATTCTTAGTTATTCTAGCACCATCATGACTAATAAATTTTATAATATTTTGTCTAGTTATGCTTTTCATGAAAATTAAGGAAAATTTGTATATAAATTTGGGAAGATTGTTTTCTTGGTAGCACAGGAGTTATGTGTGTCTCTCCATATACCATCAAGCTGCTATACCTTTTGCTGTTTTTTTTCTACACACCCTTGACATTTTGTTTAAGTTTACCTTTAGGTATTTATTCTAATACTCAAATTATGGCAAATATCTTTTTTTTGTTCTTATTTGCAGAAGTAGTATTTTATTTTTATTCCTTTGTGACAAGCTTCAGAAAAAAAATCAGTTTATTCATTTGTTTAAAAGTATGAATTTGTGATTTTTGTTCAGCAGATATGAAAGTAAATGCAAATTAAAAAATTAGAGAATTGATTTTTTACACTATATTTATTTGTAGTTTTAATTATTAAAAAGAAAATTCCTATTTATATAGTGTACTTGATGGGTGAAGAATTTGTACTGTGGAATAATGTGTAGACTGCTCTCCAATCAAAGTGATTCTTGCTCTAAAGTTATTAGTTTTTATGGAGAAAATCACATAAATCTGTTGACAGTGTATAGAATTATTCTAAAACATTGGGTATTCTTATTTTGCTATTTGAAGGATAGTAATGGAAACTTGGAATTAGCAGTGGCTTTCCTTACTGCAAAGAATGCCAAGACCCCTCAGCAGGAGGAGACAACTTACTACCAAACAGCACTTCCTGGCAATGATAGATACATTAGTGTGGGAAGCCAAGCAGATACAAGTAAGTATCCTTTTTTTCCTTAATATTTTAATAGAAATGTATTGAGACTTTTTCTTTGATAAGATATTAATTTTTCTAAAGCAGAGATGGAGAACAACAACAAAACCAAAAAATTTAACCTTTTTTCATGTAGTTGAAAGAAATATATGTATTTTTAGCTACATTAGATTTTATTTGTTATAGATCGTTTCATAAACATTTCTTATAGTATCCATTGTTTTGAAATATAGAACAGCTACAGGTATTATACTCATAAAAAGGAAAAATTCTAGAATTTTAAATAGAAATAGCCATTTGTTTTGTAAATTTTAAGTGTCAATAATAGCTTTAGTATTTCTTTTGAAGATAAAATATTGTTTCTGATTTCTTGTGGTTTTTATTATTCAGAATTTCCCTTCTCTCTTCTCCCTGCCTCCCCCATATAAAGATTTGGGGAATAGGCTTATTGCCCTTGAACAAAATCCCCTCTCACTTCAAAGCAAATGAAAGAACTAAAGGCAAAATAAAAACTTGGGAAGGGGTATTTTGGGGAGACAGGTATACATACATACATAAGTAGGCACCTATGGAAGATTTTACATAGGACTTCATTTTTCTAGTTGCTTAGGCTTCAAATCTTAGAATTATCCTTATCCTCCATCTGTCATGTCCCACATTTAATATGATAGTTATGATGGACTCCCTTCTCCTGCCCTTTCTCACCTGTTCTTAATTTACAGAAAGAGTCAACCTTTTAAAATATGAGTCATACCATGTCATTCCTGTCCAATATACATTACATATTCCATGTATATATATAATGTAAGCATTTATTTTTAAGCATATGGGTTTGAGAAGTTTGATTAGTAACATGTATTCAAAGAGAACTTCTGATTTTATTTCTACACTTATCGAAAGTTAGGAAACCACCCATTCTATCCTATCTCACGCAGTTAATAGATGATGGGAAAAGTTTTGCATATGTGAAAGACCCAGGTGCTGTGTCCCAGTTTGAGATAAACTGTGACTTGGCCCCATGTAAACTCCAGCCTCATTTTTATTTATTTTTTTTGCTGTTTTGTCCTCCTATTTTACATTGTCATAATAATAATGGTTTGAATTTTGCATACACCAAGAGCCATTTAATTTCTTTGTTTCTATGCTTGCTTTTCCTTCTGTCAGAAATTTCTTTTAACTTTTTCCTCCTTAGCCTAATTTCTTCTGGTCTTAAGATAGTTAAAGATGCTTGCTGCTTGCTGCTTCCCTGGCCTCAAGGTTATATCAGATTTTTCTGCATCATCCAGAACATGCTTCTGTCTAATGAGTACTATTATTTCAAAATTATTTGCTTGAACATTGTTGATGTTCATACATGTTCATTGAATTATTTTTTTGTAGTATTTGTAGAAAGTCTCTTTTAAGAATAATGAAAGAAAATATGATTGAGAAGTTTGCTGTAAAAAGTTGGAAAAAACGAAATGATAATAATAAAAGAGGAATTAGTATCTGAATAATGCCTCATTTCTCTCTAGGTTCTGGGACTTAGGGGTAGAAAAAAAAATAGTAAAATAAAAGGACGACTTCTGGTTAAAGTAAAGCAAACAGGAAATTAAACAGCATTTAGTGTTTTAGTTGAAAGGATAAAAAGATTTTAAAAAGATGGCTGTGAACTCTTAATATAGATGGTATAATTTGTGACATAAATAGAATATATGTTTTAAAGGGAAAATTCAAAGTATAAGAATTTCATGAACAAAAGAAGATATGTTACTTGTTATGTAAAAGTGAGAAAATATTACATAAGCCAAGTACTAAATACCACTTCCAAACTTTGGATAAGAAATAGTGAAAATGTTTTAGAGGACAAAAAAAAAAAAAAAGTGAATAGGCACCTTTAAAAGAAGACAACCTTCAAAAGGCATGTGTTTCATTTTCTGATAATTAAAATTTTTTCTTTGATATATGTATCTCTTGAAAAGTCTTCATTAAGTAATTTTATTTTCCACCGAAAATAAAAGGTAGAGAAATGGATTTTCTGATTTTATCTCAACTGATTGCCATATTTGAGTAAGTTGCTTGCTCGTGTGTGTGTGTGTGTGTGTGTGTGTGTGTGTGTGTGTGTGTTAAAATATGTTATCCTTCTAGCCAGGATGCTAATTGGGATAAGTACATTCATAAAGTTGTTTTGAGATTATTGGGAAGCGAGCTTGTAGCACCTTAATATGGTGATTGTATTATAGTATTAGTGTCAAACTAGAAAAAAATCTCTAATAGAATTATAATACTTTTCCATTTAACATATAATAACATGTTTTATAAAATTCTAAGGAGTATAGCTGTCTTTAGGAAATATTTTGATTTAGTAACTGTTTAAGCATTATCAGAATACAGTTCTAAATTGCTATGCACTTATTGTGGAGAACTAATGACGTATTTTCGTGTGTGTGCATTTTTATTTCTTAGAAGTATTAGTGAGATTTACATATTGGAAGGAAAGATAGGATATAATTACAAATAAATATGTATTTAAATGCAGGCATCTATTAAAAATCTACAGAAGGTGCTGATGGGATGTAGAGTAATAGAATGATCAGTGTGTGAAGAGGTTCTCAAGGGACTGTTCTGGTTAAAAAAAACCTTTCTTTGAGCATTTTCTCAAACTTATGTGAAACATGTTATTTGAAAGTTAGCCATGGTTTAACTTAATTTTTTTAGGTGTGGCAGGGTTTTGATTTCAGTAAGTTTTTTCTTTCTTCTAGTATAAAATCTTTCCTATAGTCAAGGCTAAAGAATAAGTAGATCATGGTGACTGAAAGCATGCCATCTGTTGGTAGCAGTGCTGTAAAAACATCTGTTAATTTCAAATAAAAATTCTGTATACTGAATAATATGCTTCCTTGTTGTTGGAATAAAAACTGTTTACAAATTAGTGTCTCTTTTAGAAGGAATGAAACTTGTTTCTTTGGTGACTAGAAAAATTCAGGTGTTCTCCTCCCCCCCCCCCCGCCCCAGTATTTGACTTCCTGAAAGTCATATTTTGGGATTGTGGAGAAACTTTTATTTATACCTATCTTAATAGATCAAAGGCAGTTTGTAAATTATGTCACTTGATTTGAAGGCCACTTACATTTGTGAGCTTTCATTTAATATTGAAGAAGTAATTACGTTTTCAGTTGTTAGTAAAACAATCTTATGCCTTTTAAACTCATTATTATCTTTCATTTTAGAGAAAGAAAGGAAATATTTCAAGGAAATCTTATATATTGCATACTGAGGAGTTTAGAAGTATTGCATCCAGCATCTTTATATTATTTTGGTAACATTCTGTGTTGTATTTCTGTGTTGTGTTGGATTCTAGGAAAAGATACAATTCATTTGTAATATAATTAACATATTTCACGCAAATCTTGGGGAACTCTTTTTCATTGCTTGGATCTCCTGTTCAGACTGGATAATGCAGATTTGTTCAATGAGTATCTCCTGCTCCCAGCTTACATTGGGAATAAAATTATGTTGGAGTTTTATAGTAAGGTACTAATGGAAATGAGGCTGATTGCAGGGTGTTGAATATTATGGGTGTAATTAATAGTGAGAGCAGAAATTCTGTGAAGGTTTTGTGTCCTGGCAAACTCTGTCACAGACATGACCATACAAGGCTTTTGCCCAATTTGAAATCTGATAGAAATATTCTTTATTTCATGACCATTGAATTCTTTTGAACTTTTTTAAAACAGGAAAAAAAACAATATATGCCCTCCAGAACAAGATGTACTACAATTGAGCAATCAAAATATGGATCAAAAGATAAGAGGGATTTGAGTGGGTAATTTTAACACAAAAGTAATGCCACATAATTGACTTAAGTTTTAGAGAAACAGTGTGTTTTTGTAACACACTGGAATCAATGTTAAGTGGTAGACCCTTCAAAAATTTAAATTCTTTGTATTTTTCACCCTAAACAACTTGATTTATTTGAAAAATTACATTCAATGTGAGGGAAACCTGGAGGCTTTAACCTAGAATTCTGGTTATGGTTCCATTGCTTGGCCATAAAAATAATGATTTAAAGCACAAGTAGTAAATAGATCCAGTTCTAGTGTTCATATCTCTACTGAGGATAATCATTTACATCAAGCAGTTAAAGATTTTTATTATTGAACACTGATATTTTTTCCATTTACCAAATTTGTTAAACAAGTCACTTCATATAGAAAAAAATTATGCAGTGAAAATTATCTCTTTTCATGGAAATTTCTGAAGTATAAAACTGTTCTGATGATTTGCCAACAGTCAAGGTTAATCTTTTAATAAGATGCTAAATGATACGAAAGTTACTTATTTTAAAAATATTTTTTACTTGTTGATGGACCATTATTTAGTTTATTTATATGTGGTGCTAAGAATTAAACCCAGTGCCTCACACATGCTAGGCAAGGCCCTTCCACTGAACTACAACCCCAGCCCTGAAAGTTACTTTATTAGATGTGATTAGGTGCTTCAGACTGATTAAGTACATTCTATTAGATGTGAACGGTAGAATGACTTGTAAAACTTTCTAAATTTTCCATCTTTCTGTTTTTGAGACTGGGTCTTATTCAGTTTCCCAAGTCTGGTCTTGAACTGATTTGCCCACTTTATCTTTCTTTAGTTTTAGGATAGAATGAGAATCATGGGCCTTTGTACTTGTTGTTGACGAACATGGAATATTTACTTCCATTTTTTTTTTTCACTCCAAGTTGAAAATCATAGTAATAATAATAATGGCACAATTCTGGAATGGCTCTCTTGGAGCTCATTTCGCTTTCTTTCCTTACTTGTCTTGTGATGCTGCTATTTTAATTTTAGCAACTATCATTGAAAACAACTAAATTTTTCTACAGTAGAGCTATTCAGTTTAGTTGTCACTAGTCAGTCACATGTGGCTATTAAAATTAAATAATATTGAATATTGAAATTTTGTTCCTCACACGAGTATTAAATTTTTAATACTAGTAGCAGTACATGTAAAATAGTACATTCCAACATCACAGAAAGTTCTTTTAGGCAATACTGTTTTAGAGAATCTGAATTTAGCAGTGAGAAGAGTAAAAAGGTAGGAATATCTTAAGGAAGCTGATCAGTTATGGTAGGGAGGCATCAGTGGGTGAGAAACAAAATTTATATTGTTTATATCTTTATTCTTGTATTGTTTAAAGCAATACCCTATTTATCCTCTCTTAAAAATATTTGGATGACTAGAGGTTATATTCGCAAGTCTTCTTATTAGTGCCACTGTACAGATAACCCATTAGTTTTTATTTCTGTTCCATAATCTAGCTATTAACCTTTATTTGTCTAATACATACTTATTGGTTACCTGATACATATTATAGATATTTTGATAGGCAATTAAAAATGTGTTTACCTAGGAGAAAGACATTAAACAAGAAATATCTGGTGGTAGAACGTTCACAAAGAACAACAGAGCTGGGCAAAGAGATATTAGAGGGGTGTGGTTATGGGTTGAGCATAAGATGTACTATTTTAGGTCTTGTGTTAGGGAATGCCTCTTGGATAAGGTCACCTTGATACAGATACCTAAGTGATGTGGGGAAGGGAAAACCTCATGGCTATCTGAGAGAAGTTCATCGCAGTCCAGGGCCTGAGGCAGGAGTATGTTTGACCTATGAAATGAATAGTGAGAATGCAATCTAATGGAAGCTGAATGAATGAGGTTAATGGTGGCAGTATTCTCATTTCCCATCTAATGAACATTCCTGCATTTTTCTGAAAGATATTCCTATCCTTCTGATGGTCTATTTTTTTTAATATCTTAATTTTTAAAAATTTTAGTTGTAGATGGACACAATATCTTCATTTATTATTATTATTATTATTATTATTATTAATGTGGTCCTGAGGATCTAACCCAGTGCCTCACACATGCTAGGCAAGTGCTCTACCACTGAGCTCCAGCTCCAGCCCCCCTTTTAAATATCTCTCTCTCAAAACAACTGTTCAGTTTGCAATTGTACTCGTTTTTGTATGCTCCATTTTCCTATCGCAACAGCATACATACTTTGCATATACCAGCCCAAAGTACTTTATGCATCTTTAATATTTGTTCGTGTGGAATTAAAAAAACCCACATAAATCAAAGTTAGAGATTTAGGAAAATTTCTTTTGTCTTTTTATTAAGGTTGTAATTCTTAAGAGAAACTGACATTTGTGTATTTATTTTTAAACAGTAAGTGTGCTTATTTCTGAGTAATACAAAGTTATTTCCACACACTCCCATAACCCGGTGCTGCTTCCTTGATTTATGCTAAGGTGAAGTAGTTTTACCCACTATTGTTCAGCATTATCAGTACAAATATAGCCACATTAGAAAAGCCAAATAACATTTTAGTATTCTGTTTACTTAAGGAGCTCCCCATTCCTTCCTTAAAGTGTCACGGGGACCCTGGGACACCAAGGATCAATGGACCACACTTGGAGAACTGCTAGTAAGGTAGAAAGACTATTGGGTTTAAAAGTTAGAAGATATAAATTGGAAGCCTATGCACCATTCTCTGTCATTATAAAGTACTTCATTTCTCAGAGTTTCAACTATCACATTTATGAAATTGGTTAAAAAATCTAGTCTTGTTTTTCCTTCTGTGTTGCTTGGATTATAATTGGTAAGTCATGAAAAGCTATTAGTCTAGGTTTTTGCTATTTCTAAATGAGTTTCTGCTGTCATTTGGTTTGTCAGTCATGAAGCACTAAAAATTGTAGGTACTTTCAAAGCAGGAATTTAATGCAGGGGATTACATTACTAAGAAATCACTGGAAGAACTGGAGAGAGGGATTTGTATCTTAGTTTTCTGAAATGACTTCCAGTTCCATGTGGGATTGACCAGCCAGAGAAGCTGTTCCTTGTATCACAGTTAGGAAGACGCCTCTAGGACTGCTGTGTTCAAGTAAATAAGTTCTGCAGCTGTAGCCTAGGAAACAGAAAGCCAGGATTAGGTAACTACCACTGAGCAATGCCTGGATCCTGGAATGCCAAGTCTGGTTGCCACTTCTACTCACTTGACATTGTTGAAGCTGTAAATTGGATGATATAGGAATGCTACTGTGGAAAAGCCTACAACTGTCAAATAATGTTGAAGAAAACAGACTGAAGCTGCAAAATAATGGCGGTACCTTTGCTTCTACCTTTCAAATTTCATGTTAGTGCATCCAATTGATGTAACCTAAATCTTTTCCCAAATCTTAATTGCAGGTGAATAGGGAAGGTATACTTTTTTAATTTATTCATTTTTTGTTGTTAAAGAAAATATTCTAAACTAGCTGGGTGCTGTGGTATCCACCTATAATCTCAGTGACTCAGTGGCTAAGGCAAGTTCAGGGTGGTAAGTTCAAAGCCAGCCTCAGTCTCAGCAACTTAGTGAGGTCCTAAGCAACTTAAGTGAAACACTGTTCCTCTACTCTCCACCTCCCCCCAAAAATAAAAAAAAAAAAAAAAAGTGCACTAGAAGATTGAGAGAATGGAGTCTGAGGACTAATTGATCATATCCCTAAAACTGGTATTTCTTCTTCTCTTTGAATTTCCTGTACATTATTTTCTCTTTACTTACCCATATTCTAGGCATTTTAATAAGCAACATAGTAGCTCTCTTTGTCATAATGCATTTCGTAACTCTTCCCTGCTTCATCAGAATTTAAGCTAGATTGGCTATCTGCTTCCATTTTTAGCTCTGGTCTGGGTGAATATGGTTCTTGAAGCCAGATTCATGAAACCTTTGGCCTATTGGCATAGGTAAAGTGTTACATCATTTCAATTACTTTGTTGTATTCTACATTTTACTTGATTGAATTTTAGGAAGTCCTTTATTTTCATGAGGATTTATTCTTTAAGGACATTTGGAAAAAAACACCACCTTCTAATGGCCAGCTATTTCTTTCTACTATTTTAAATATTCTTGTAAAATGCTGTTTAGAAAAAAAAAAAGGGTAATAATAGAAGTACCCTTTTGGAACCATCAGTATATATTATTTTTTTTTTCTCATTAAATGTAGAAAATACATAGACACACTTGCACACATACACATTACTATTGCCATATGGTAAAATGAAGGTAACTTCTTCCATGCTTTCCCTTTTGTCTCTTGTAAAATTCTATGTAATTATCAAGAAAATAAATTTTAAAAATGTTTAAAATACAAACATGCAAAATGAATGCAAAACACAGATAAGCATAATCACAACCACACAAATATGATATACTTCATTCTTTTTTCCTTTCATATTTATTTCTATCATTGTTTAAATGATAATGGGAGTATTTATAATTTGCTTATTCTAATTGACCAGTGCATTTGGGGGAAATGGATTAAAAGTGCTTTTACTGAAAGTGATAATAATTGTAGCTTTTATTCTTTGGAAAAAAGAATTAATGCATGTAGCATCAAGGCTTTCACTTGTTAGAAGGTGAATATTCATTCACTTATATATTTGTTTTGGAGAAATGAAAATCTCATTTTAAATCAAAAGAACTGCATATTTATTAAATAATTCATGTGGCTCAGATGTGCTTAAAACACAAAATTGAAAGCTCCTTGCACATTCTTCTCCAGTGACTATTTTCAATAGAGTTAACCACTGTTGACGGTTTGGCATATTGTTTCCAACTTTAAAGCGTGTGCACACATGTGCGCGTACACACACACACACACACACACACCCCTACACCTATTTATGGTTAATTAATACCTGAAACAAGTTTTTGAGGACTTAGTTGTTATAATTGAATAGATGATTCCTAGATGGTAATATCGACAGAATTAATATGTATGTAATTTGGTTAACTTCAGAGAAAATAGACGTGTTTGTGCTGATTTCAATTTTTGTTGATAAAGAAATCATCCTCAAAGAATACGTTTTCAGTAATCTTTCTGCCTACTAGTGTTTAATGAGAGACTTCATAATAAATACTGAGATTCTTCTATAGTGAAAGATATTTCTGCTCCTACTGCTTTAGGTTTGTTTTATAGACGAGAACATTAAGTTAGCAAGTATAAGTTAAAAATGTATTTGTGTTCTTTTTATATAAGTTATTCCTATAAAATAAATAGAATTAAGTTGGTGATGACTTTGGTTTAAAAGGGTATATTAGGTATGAAATCTTCATGATAAGAAATACTTTTAATTTTGTATGACTTTTTTGAGAAAGATAGTTTTGCTTTTCAGATGTGATTGATCTCACTGGAGATGATAAAGATGATCTTCAGAGAGCAATTGCTTTGAGTTTGGCGGAATCAAACAGGGCATTCAGGGAGACTGGAATAACTGATGAGGAGCAAGCCATTAGCAGGTAAAACATAATCTGTGTAAAGTAGATTATTAAAATAATGTATATAACAAGTAATAATTTGCTTTAATTTTAAGAGGCAATATGATAATCTTTATTGTAAATAAATCATTAATATGCTTCTGTGTTATTTTTATGTTTTATGTAAACTTTTCATATTATAGTACTGTTGGCATTTGAACTTAGATTTCTAAGATTTTGGAATGCCATTATGCAGCATTACATTTAGCTGTATATTTAAATGTTCTGTGATCTTTTTTATATTTTTTTCTTTCCCTAAATCCCTTTTGAGTATACTGCCTAATTCAACTTTAATAATTTATAGCCAGGGTCAGCAGACTTTTCCTGTAAGAGCCAATAGTAAATATTTTTGGCTTTGTTGGCCATATGGTGTCTGTCACAACTACTCAACTTGGGTGTTGTATTGCAAAAGCAACCATAGCTAATGTATAATATAATAAATAAAGTTGACTGTTTTCCAGTAAATCTTGATTTACATAAATAAGCAGCAAGCTAGATATATCACACAGGCTGTAGATTGCCAACCTCTGATCTATACTCTGATACTATGTTTATATATATATTTTATATATATATTTATATATATATTTAAAGTTGTATGTATATATATATACAACTATCATTGTGTGTATACGTGTGTGTGTGTGTGTATATATATATATATATATATATATATATATATATATATATATATATATGAAATAGGGTTCTAAGATGTGTGATAAAATGTGTTTTTCATATAATACATATAATTTTTTAGTTCGAAACAATTTGCTTAACCTAAGGATTAAATAAATAAATTTGGTTTTATCACTAAGCAGTGCTTACTTAAAAAAAAGAAAAACTTAAATCATAACTAACTATAACTGTCTAAGCAGCTATTTCGAAACAGTGATATTTTTTTGAAGAAGATATTTTGCTTTCAATAAGTTAAATGAGTTTCCAAAGACAAGTTCATAAGAAGGGTCTTATGACTCCATTGTTCTTTTTATTATAGTACAGTTATTAGTAGCACAGCATACCAGCTTTCTTAGATAATTACCCTTGGCATGATATCAGAAATATAATTTTTAATAAATAATCTGAGATTATTGTATGGCAGGAGATGTTTCAAAATACTGTTGTATTTAGCAAACACTTATTTTTTTTTTGTAATGCTTTTAATGTCTATATGTTTCTTCGGAAATTACTTTGTGTAAGATATTATCTTAAGATCTAAAGACTTAAAATTCCTTGTCCCCCTCTCTAGTGTGACTAATATTTAGTGCTGGTAATTTTAAATGAAAACCAAAAAGGACATAGACTATCTTTGGACATTTTAATTTTGCTTATTTTGTGAAGGATTTGAAAAATTAAATAAATTTGGCTTTATCTTTAAAAAAATGATTGCATTAAATAATTGCTTTGAATAGTTGTAGAACTTGACAGTACTTAAACTTGGAGAAATGTAGTTGTTTTCCCTTAGGTGCGGAGGATATATTTGAAGATTATTATGTGAAAGAGGTTATAAAATACATATATGTATATTTTTGTTTACATGACTTTATATTAGCATTCAAATATGAAAAAGTCTGAAAACTTATATACCAGTTTAGTATTAGTTCTATGTCTTGTTTTCTCAAGTAACATATGGTAATTGTTGTCATGTACTAGTTAACTGTGGAGATAGGTTCTGAGAAACTCATCATTAGGCAATTTCATTAGACTGTGTGTACATCATGGATTATGCTTACACAAACCTAGATGGTATAGGTCAACCACTCAGTGTGGCTTCTTGATGCGATCCAGAGGTGTAGTAAATATGAAAAGTATGAGGCTGCTGTCAACCTAATGTAACATACTGTTTCACAGTAAAAATTTCTTTTACATTGAAGTACACTATAAAATAACAATAAAATATATAGTATAATAAATATATAAAACACTATCATAGTCATTGTTATCAAGAATTATGTATTGTATCTACTAGATCTTTACGGGATCGGCAGTGCAATTGGTTTGTTTACACCAGCGTCACCACACACATGTAGTGCCTGTGTTATGGCATTACAGTGGCCACCTGATCATGAGGCAGTAGGAATTATTCATCTTCATTATAATCTCATTATTGTTAAATACATGATCTGTCATTGACCAAAATGATGTCATGTGGCATACTGTTGTACATAATAAAAGTAAAAGGAATTAAGACTTTCTAATTGATGTTAAGTCATACCAATATATATTTTGTTTGAATACTAATTTTGACAAATTGGAAAAAAAAACTCCTTAAGAGAATATTGTTTTTCATTTTTAGTCTTTTAAATTTTAATATACTCTTTAAGCAGAAGCCATCAGTGTGGGAGGTATACGGAGTGAGAGATCACGTATCCAGATTGGAGAGCCTGAGAGAGAAACTGGGGTCCCTCAGTCTCTTCTGAGGAAAAATGTTCCTGGTGATCTAAGGACCCTCTCCTATGCCCTAGCTTTTACTTCTCAACATTACGATATGAGGGCCCCAGCTTTCAATCCTTGGAGGGAAAAATCTCATCAAGCCCATAGTATATTGCTAGGGCATAAAGTGGACTATAGGTAGTTGAAATTTACTAATATACTACATTAGCACTGGTTTTTGTCAATGGCATAGTCCTTGTGAAGATAGCTTTTCATGCATGACTTTAAAATAGCTTGGTAGAAGGCAGGGCTAACTTTATATAAAATTATTGCAAAGAGCAAACCTCCAACTTTTAAGGAATGGTGGAGTAGGGTACTTGGACAAATTTTTCTTTTGGAAAGAAACAATATGGTTTCTGTTGGATATAAAATATTTTTGAATTTTTAAAAATGTATTATGATTTGTTAAGTAAAGACCAATATCAAGGACTCAAATCAGTGAAAGCAGAAATCTGAAGAAATAAGTGCAGAACACTGAAAGTCACTTTTTGACTTGATGGAATTTGCCTTGTATCTGTAAAATTAAACTTTGCTTTAGAATCATTGTTGAGTGGAGGAAAAAGAAGTCAGAGGCCGTTTTGAAAATAAGATGGACAGCTTCATAGGAGATTATTTCTCTTGTTCAATTGTATGTCAAAGGATGACATATTCCCAGTAAGGGTAAATCAGAAGTATTCCTTCCCTCAGTAACCACAGGCACATTACAAAGATATTTTCCATAGCTTTGAGGGGTGCTCTTGATGGAATTTGCCCCTGACAACTTCTACTGTGATTTTTATAGCTAAAATTTGTGCCAGGTTTTGTTTGTGACTAAAACACTTAGGGGTCACTCCAGGGGAACTGGGCTAACTGGGCTGTGTGAAATAACCACACAAGAGACAGAAATACCTTTTTCTTTGGGGTTGCTGTGACTGCTCCTCTGACCTTAAGGGTCCACAGAAAGAGAGAGAGAGAGAAAGCCCACAAGCACATGCTGACCCCTTTTATTGAGGAGAAGCTAGTCAAATGAGGTAAGGTGTCAGGTTTCATGGGGCTGAGTCTAGCTTCATGATGTCAGCAGGTTGACTGACATCTAGGTAGTCCACACCCAAGGGCACAGTAAGATAAGGGGACACACAAAAGGTGTTTCCATGAAACATTCTATCCCAAACAAGGCAAGGGGTAATATTACAAAGAAACAGGTGAGCATAGCTCCACCCATGGGGCTGTAGGAAGGCATGCCCATGCAGGAAGACACCTTCCCTGGAACCCAAGAAGGGCCGGACATCTAGTGGCATCTGCCACCTGAAGCCTCAATCATCCAGCCAGGGAGTGACTCAGTCACGTGCAAAGTTGGTCTCTCACAAATTTGTGTCACTTTAGTGGTACAATAAATCACAATCTTGGGATTTTAATTTTAAATGGTATTTTCTCTAGGTCCTGGCAGTATCAAAAATACATTTTCTTTCTAGCTGTCTTTGTCCTAGACCCCAGAGATACCCTCTAATAACTTTTGGAGCTCTAAAAGCATTACCTGCCAAAATTACCAAACATACATGGAAAAAAGTCAGTATGAGAATTAATAGAAACAAGAGGCAGGGAAAATTTACCCATGTACTCAGTGTGACCAATGCTTTAATTTTCTAAGGAAATTTTGAAAAATTTAAAAATATGACCTAACACATTTGAAAAACACCAGAAAAATATATTTTTGAAGTGAAAATTAGAATAAATAAAGTAAAATAAAACCAGAACATAGCTTTAATAAAAGAAATGGCTGAAGAACACATCAGAAGGCTAGAAGATATATAAGAAGAAATTATAACCACTTTAAACACATATGTCTAAAAAGATGGAAACTATAGGAAAAGGTTAAAAGACATGGAGAATAGTGTATGTCTAACAGTAATTGGTGCATCGAAAAAGAGAGCATGGGCCTGAAGCAAAATATAAAGAAGTAATCACTGAGAACTTTACAGATATGAAAATGACAACAATCTAATTTCACAAAGTACAATAAATCCTAATTAGGAAAACTGAAAGAAGCCCATATCTAGATTTATTATAGTGGTACTCTGAAACATTCAGAACTGAGAAAACTTAAAAGTATTCAGAGGAAGAAAACAGTATTATCCCCAAATTAGCAACCGTGAAAGTGACAAAAACCAGACATTTAAACAGCAATAATGGACTACTGAAAATAATAAAATGATTTTTGTTGAGTGGAAAGAAAATTACAAAAAAATAAAATCTGTTACAATTCTGTACTCAGTGAAGCAATGTGGGAGAGTTTTGCCAGGGCTCTTTCTTCTTTTTGGACAAGCAGTTCTGAAACAAAAAGATTATTAATGTCCTCTCTGTTCCCATCTTGAATTACCACATTGTGGTGGTTGCAACATCATTGTATCCCTTTCCAGTGGTTACTATAATTTTATTCCCCCCGCCCCCCAAATCATCCTCTAGTAGCATCTCACCTTTTATCTGTAGGTACCAAGTATATGAGGAGTAAAAATATTTTAATAAAATTTATAGGGACTCTTTGTGCCTCCCACTTTGACCAACATGGTTTA